ATAACTTATTGAAATCTCTTGTAAACTTTCTCTGATTAAAAACAGGAAATCTTGTCTGGAAGTCCTGATTAAATTTTTTTAATTTAACATGATTACTTTCCTCTCAATTTTGGAGGCATTTTAATAGTTACGTTGTAATTTTGAATAGTTTTTGTGTATCTTTGATAAGCATTTTCCCTGAGGCACTAGAGCTGTGTAAAAACAAATTGGAACCAAAATATTTGTTAATCCTGTATAAAAGAATAGTTTGCAGCTGTGTGCTAGTAGTTTGATTTTACCAACATTAGCTCTGTGGTGTCATGCTTTAAAGTTAGCTACTTATCACAACACACACAACTCTAACCTCCATTTTGAAGGTTGTCCAGGCTATTATCTCTGCTTTCTAACTTGTAGAGAAATAAGATTGTTCTTTCATTACTGGGTATTATGTAACCTATTTTTGCAGAAGGTACTGTTACATTGAGTGCATTTATGTGTATTCTTGCAAATGTATTCTTTTGAAATAAACCTTCATATTCTGTATAGCTTCTAGTAAGTCTTTGACACAGTGTTTGGGGAAGGAAGCCAGAATTAAACAGACACGTTGGTATAGCAAATCAAAATATGGGTGTCATTAGCTTCCAACTAAAACTTCTTTAATTGTCTCCTCTATTACTGAATTGAACATCTAGAAGCACATTTAATAGCAAAAGAAAGAGCAGTAGCAAAAAATACAGGAACACTCAGGGGAGATCCAAAGAAATAATTTTATACTTTGCTCTTCATGTTTAGCAAAGCTTTGGCAGAACTTTGGTACAGCTGTTTTTTAAACCAGATTGCCACAAGTGAACTTGGCTTATAGTGGTTGGGGAATCTTGAATATGCAGTCTTGTTCAGGTACACCTACAACTGTTCATTGATGTGGTCTCAAGCAAAAGGGATACATCTTTTCAAGCCTTTTTTTTTTTTTTTAACATTGAATGGCCTATGTTAAATCTTTCTTGACCAGGCCTAATCACAAATGCTAGGTAGTCAGTGCAAGACTCATCTCTCACCCAGTCAGCATAAGTATATAGTTAAAATGCTGCTGTTCAGCAATTAAAAAAAAAAAAAAAAACCACAAAAACCGAAAAGCAGCAAATCTGATCTGCTCTACAGCTTTACCAAATTGAGTAGCTACAGAACTGAAGAGGACCCTGCTAACAGAAGAGCTTGAAGTAGTATTTCAGTAAGACCTGGAAGGTTTTACTGGTCCAGATGGTCTTTTAAAGGCAGGAGCCAGTAAGAACATACTGATGTTGCACATGGATCTTGGCCACTCTCAGTTACAGTCTGCTGCGTGGAAAAACTGCTAAGTATTTGCAGTATTTCAGAAGAATTAAGCAGCAGAAAATGCGTAAACTAAATTGTTTTTAAGTGAGTAAGTAGCCTTTTAGGAAAGATGGGAGGAATGAAAAACCTAGTATCACAGCATTTTCTATAACAAATTCTTTGTGAGTGTTCACAAGTGACAAATATTTAGGTTTAAACAACAGAAATACACTGTACCAGTGTGTCAGGACACATTAATCCAGTAAGTAACTCACCTTGATGCATTTAATGCGTAGTCTGTGTTGTTCAATTCTTAGAAGAAAAATGAAAGAAGTTCAGTTTACTGAGTTTTTTGCAGGAGTTCCCAACAGAAAGTAGAAGTTAACTGCATTTAAAAAAGTACATACCCATTTGGCTGCAGTCTGTGCTTCATTAGGTGTGACAACACATACAAAATAAGTATTTGCTATAAGATGAATTTGTAGTGGCTAATGGATCAAATAGGAAATATGAAAGTTTCTAACCTTAAAAGACAAAGCCAGGGGGCGGTACAAAAATAAAACCTTGTGACTTGATATCCTGCCTACAGTAAACTGGTCTAGATGTATATTCCAGTGGTTAAATAGTATTTCCTGACTATTTTGCTTAATTAAATGAATTTGTGATTGTGCACGTTGTATTTCACTTAATATTGAAACAAAGTATAGGATGATGGGGAAACAAAAAACAAATTGCCAAAAACTTTGAGTTTATAATCTGTTTTCAAACTATTTAGATTAACAGAAGCCTATCCTTTACTTTGCCAGAGCAAGATTTTATTCTTTTTTTTAAGGATTTCATCCAACCTTTATTATTAGGACAGAATTTAAATACCTAAATTAAATGTTTAAGTTTGCTCACTTAGATTTATTTACATCAGTGATTTTCAGAAGACTTCACCAACATAAATGTCAGTAAAGACCTTAAACTATAGAGAGGCTGATAACTGGAGACACTTTTAAAAGGGTAACAGTTTAACAGTCTTTCTTTTGTAGTACACAAATTAAAAGGGTTATTAAGATACAAAACTGGACTTCTCTGAAAATTATTTAAGTGTTCAAAACCGTTTTAACAATTTACAAGGAAAACGTTGTTTCCTTAGTCTTTAAAAACACATGAATACAATATAAGCAATCCAGGCTTTTAAAATGCAGAACGCTCAGCAGCTGGTATTGTAGCTGCCATTACAATGTTGGCTAGTGATGTAACACCATAATGAAAAGGATGTCAATCACATATGTTGGTTCAAATGATATTGCATGATTAGATTTAATCTTGTCATGCACTTTACAATAGGATTTTTAAATTTTTTTTTCTCCTCCCTCTTGGTAAATCTACAGTAGTTTGTGTTAGCTTTTATTTTTGCATTTCCTTTTAAAACTACGTGTAGAGGTCAAGGTAAACATTAGGTGACTAGCAGGTTCACAACTAACCTGCTGATTTAACACAGCAGTTGCAAAATCTAAGCAGGGCATCTTGAAGACATTATTAATCTGGAAGTCCTTTGGAACTTTCCAAAAATATGTAATTTAATTTTTTCAAATGTAATTTAATTATAAAAAGATTCAGTCAAGACAGTCAGTGTAGTAACAAGTATTTGACTTAACACTGGAGAACTAGAGGCAACTTCTGCAGGATTCATTTTTGTATGTTTTTTGTGTAGTTTCTTTAATAAACTCCCAGCTATAGGTAAAAAGTTACTGTCAAAAGTTGTGCAAATAATAGCTATGCATCTATTTCCCAGATAAAAGGATAATCAAAAACATTTATGAAAACTTTGGTAAGAACTTCTTTCATGGAAAGCTGTAATATGAAAGATAAACCAAAACTCTGTAATTTAACATTAAAGCTCTATCAGATTATTGTGGGGAAACTGATGACGGTATTTTTTACTCCCTTAAAAAGAAAGCAGCTGTAAGGTATTAATATTCTGTGACTTTCTAGGTAAGAACTAGTACTGAGCAAGTAGCAACAGATTTAGATCTCATTTCTGTGGAATAGGATAAGATACTAGGTATTTCCTATAGTTTTAAGAACATCTATCAAATTTTTTGAGGCTTGATATGTAAACAGTGATTATACACTGCAAAAATACATGGGAAAACAACATTCACAAGTAACATAATTTGTCCAGCATAAGCTGATAGCAACCTGGGGGAAAGTACTGTTTTCTTTTTGCAAGCTCAAACTGTACCAAAACTAGAGCCCTGCTTATTTTAATGAATGTCCGTACTGAAATTGTGTGACCAATAGCACTCTTTAACATAATCTAACAACACGCCTGATTTCAAGCGTTACAAAAGTATAGGTGAAGAAACACTTGCAACAACAGATAAGTCTCTTGAAATCATTGTACCTATGGTTACTTTTTTAATGGATTCTCAAAAGTTATTTTTTTTGCTTGCCACCCTCAAAGAGAAAGCATGTAAGAAATCCAGAAATGCAAGTATACTGCTGTAAACTAAGTATATGAAATGCAAATGTGTAATTATTGCAGCTATTCGTGACAAAAAATGCAAATGTTGAATTATAAGTAGGTTTAAAAGTTCACAAGCAGGTTCATTGGTTCACTGTATGTATCTGCAGTAGTCTTGAAGACAACCAGCTACTATACTTTTCCAAGCAAAAGAAGGATTTTATTTCCACAGCAGTAATTTTTTCCTACAGTAAATAGAACTCAATCGTGAAGTTGGCTTCAGTTGGCCAAAACATTCATACCGTTATTTACTCAGCTCACGTAGAACCTGTTTTCAAACCTTCAGTCTGAAGGTCTTCACTAAAACTCAATTGTAAAGAAAAACAGTAATTAATATAGAACAGCTCCTTTTGGCTGTAGTTAGTCTGCACTAACAAAAGCCCCACAATTAGAAGACCACTTGATGTCTTGACATCAAAATACTGAAAAGAAAATAAAGTTCCTCTGGAAACTAGCATAAAATGCTGAACAAGTAACATGCTGAAAAGCTAGGAAATCTGAAACTACAGTTAAATTCAACACTGAGCTTGCTTTTTCTCTAAAAATACAGAGGATAATCTAACACAAGCTTTCCTCTTAAAAGAAAAAATAGACGTAGAAATGGCATAGATTACATTTTCTTTTTTTGTCTGAGATTTTTCAGAATAGTAGTATTGGTCAGCAGCTGCCTCTACACCCTTTGGAGGTTCCAGCTGAAGTTGGAAGTATAGACTTTTGTTTCAGTTGTTCCTCCCAGCTCTCTGCTTGTAGAGCTGATAGATGTTGGTTGATTATAACTTTTCATAGTTAAAAAATTATGAAACTGGCTTGCATATGTCTACACTGAAGTGTCACGTTTCTCCTCCTGGCTGTGTCTGGTAGCATGAAGTTGGACTGGATAGACATTAAATAAAAAAATATTTAGGACAAGTGTTAAATATTGCAGTACTGCTCTGGAGGTTTAAAAGGATCCTAAGATGCATTCAGCTACCCCTCATTACTGTGGCTATAAGACAGCCATGAACTGTTTGCTAGTGCAGTCCACAAGAGACCATAGTAAAAAACCAAGATGTTGCATTACTTTCCTAATATTTACTAAACCCCTCTAGTGAAATTTCATCAGTAGCAAACCTATGCTGTAGAAGCAGTCTGTTAGTTCTAGAAGACAACTGTAGCATATATAGCTAAATACAACATTCTCTTACAGAATCAAATGTTAAGGTGGGGTATTTTTTTAATAATATTATGTTCCATATAGACATACTACAAGATGAGGAAAACATCGTGTTAAATCATTACATTTCTTCAGAAACTTTTATGCATTCTTTAATTTCCCAAGAAAAAGACAGTATTACAAAGAACATTTCAAGGTAGTTCCAAAGTCTATTAGGAAAGCAATCATCTAATTTTCTGTATTTCTTTCACAGAAAGTAAGTGCATTTATAGCATGGACAGAAATAATCACGCTAGCTTTATTATAGCTGGCACATATAATAAATTATAATAGGGACTTAATGACAATATGTACTTGGAATTCATACATTACATGGAGAAGTTCATATCATCAGTATTGAAATTGTTAGCATTAGCTAGATAAAGATGACATGGTTATGTCTAGTTAAACTACATTGTGTCTTCGTGAGCTGCATGAATTCACAGTAAAGGAATTGGGGCACCAAATCAGACTGTAGCTGGCTAACACAGCTAATCTTGTAAAACTCCTGCCTGTTCTGGATTCACTGAGATGCAATGTATAACAGCACTAATATATTATTATATATGATTTTATAATTTCCATTAAATTTTATAATTTACCATTGCCAAAAAGAAGATTTTTGCAATGGTAAAAGGCTTTATTTAGAGTTTTCCTTTAACTGTTCTACAGCTCTTGTATTTAAAAGCATCAGAGCTGACAAGTGTAAATACTGATTTTGTCTAGTGTTATTTCTGTGTCTGAAGGCAGAAGTGTTAGTATCTGAATGCTCAGCAGTGTTTACTACATTACAAGTATAAACATTAACTCATCAGCTTCACATACTGGACCGCGTAAGTAAGCCTTAAGAAAAAGTACTGAGTGCAAATATTAATGGCTAGATATGGCCAATTCACATAAAGGGGAAAAAATTGCCTGTTTTCATATCGTTATTGTGGAGTTCCCCAAAACAGATGACAAAACCCAAGGATGTACCCATTAATCAGCTGATTTAAGTTTAGTGACACACCGGTGTTTCTTTTAATTGCAATTTTGACCCTTTCCTTGGCATGTGCCAGTGAACCAGAACACAAGTCAACAGGTTTTAGACATAAATACCAGGTATCCCAGCTTTTTCTGAAACAAGATTAGAAAAACTCTAAAGATGCTGAACTACACTCAGGTGAAATTTTCAAGACTGCTTAGCATAATCTTTAACTTTGACAAATTATAGCTGAAGTCCTAACTCAGAAAGCATGTGCAAGTTTTACTAATGGCTTCAACAAGGGAACATGAACTTCAAGTTGAGACAGACCAAGTATCCCATTACTTCATCCAGCTCTGTGATGAAGAATCTGAAGTTTGTATGAGCTAAAGGCATCGTCTCATGAGACACTGGTAGACCACTTCCCACAAGCTCCCCAACAGCTATCACCTAAGCTGGATGGGACAGAAACTGAAATTGGGTCGTCACTGAAGGACAGTTCTTAAGAGATCAGTTAAAGAAATATAAAACTTATATGAGTTTCTGGCCCTGTCCAACCCCAAAATCTGTACACATTTGGCTTAGTATCTGACAATCTAACAATCGTATTTCACTCAATTTTGACCCCAGCAGGACTGTTAACCACACCACTACCAGTTTCTCCTTTAAGTGCATGATTCAACTAGCAATGAAAGTGTTTGCAACGCCTTATTTCATGTTTCATCAACAGATTACATTTAGAGAAACAGATGCCTTTATTTCCATCATATTGTTACAATAAATTAAAATTTCAGTCAATTTGAATACTGAAACTTAATCTGAGTTGTCCCCTATGGATTTCCCAAACCTAACAACATGTTGGAAATTTTCCTATGCTGTCAAGTAGAGGTAAACACGGGATCTTGACTTACAAAGATAATTTAGTTAAAGTTCTTAACCTCAAAAAATAAGGAATTGCTCATGTCAGCACATGAAGCTTCTCCATGAGAACAAATAATCCTACAAACCAGGAAACAGTAAAGATAGTAAAGAACTTTCGGGTTTCAGCAAGTTCTCCTGAGCTAACTCCCCAGATAAAGATTGCTCACAGTGATAGAGTTGACATAATAACCAAAACTGAACAGTAGACAGCTGACATTTAATAAAAATATTTTGTATTATTATAGAGTCTGAACAGCTAGTTTTGACCTAGAAGCATTATGAAAGTAAAGAACAGCAAGTACTGGGACACACACTGCCAGTCCACTATAAAGTAAGCATGCTGGTCATTACCTTGGTGAGAAGATTTGCCCACTGCATGCTGTGCTACAGCTATTTATGTCTAAAATAACAGCAAAATTAAGGACAAATCCCCTAAACAATCTCAAGAGGTGGTCTAGGGACTTCTATGTTCCAGCCCATCTTTCCTCCTCAGCATTTCACTATGGCACTTCCCCATCAGAGCAGATGACAGGCGAGCTTAAACACATTGCTTCTCTACTAGACAACTATAAGAACAAGCTGTGAACAAGGAGCTATATGGAAACACGGTGGAAATTAACATCAAATAGACCTCTGTGTAAATGATTTTGTATGACAGTCATTCATCTCACTGCATTTTCCCACTCAATACAACACTGCTAACAGTCTATTGCTAGTTGCTCTTAAAAAAAAGCAACTGCACTGAATCACAAGATAAAATGCATGTTTAAGTTCTTGCACGTGGCGTTCACTATCATTTGGCTACATGAACATTTTTCAGTGTCAGATTTTTCTTGTTACCAAGGTCTTGTTATCATAGCATAGAAGGAAAAAAGCAGTCATTATATTGCAACCAGACTAAGGCTTGTTATTTTTGCTTTTCTCTAATATGCTTTCTAATGAGGATACTGCATCAATTAACTTGCATTTCCTGAGTCACCTGCTGTTTAAGGTTATAACCTTAAGAATGTCTACTTTTATATAAAATACATATAACTCAATTCAGTATGCTATATTTAAGGATGTACTTTGTATAAACTTTAGCAATTGACTATGATAAGCATCCTAATGGTAATAAAGCTGATCTAAGCAACGAGCTCTCTTTGGGTTATAGATCTATTGTAGCAGGAAAGAATCAAGGTTCAGTTAAAAGAACATCAGCTTCACCTTTTACTCAAGTATTTCCTGCTGAATACACCAAAAGATTCAATTTCAACAACTCAAATTGCCTTTTATTACATACTGGAAATTTCTTCCAAGAACTTGAGTATACAAGTTTGAAGTAACATTTGACAATAACGTGAAATACCGAATGAGTGTAGAGATTGACTAGCAATCGAATGCAAGTGTACACAGAAGAGCATATGCTTCACTTGTAGCTTGGATACCTACAGTCCACAAGAAGAACTCTGAATCTGAACACATACTTTATTGTATTAACTAGATGGCTAGCTACAAAACATATTGTCTTGCACTGTGTTTAAGTGAATTTTCAGGAATGCTAATCCCATCCTCCAGTGTTACAATATTCCTTTGGATCTGCTTTGTCGGGTTGAAGATTCTATGAGCGTCACAAGAAAAGTGGTATATTTGAGGATTTATAAAGTGCCTTTTAGGAAAACATTTATAGCTATGGCAATGCTCAATTTTTTGCTAATTTTAATAATACTTGTATTTAGCTTTTTCTATTTCACAACTACAATGAACAACAAAAATTCTGTAATTCTGTTTTCTGCGCTAGCTTTTATCTAGTGGAAAGCAATTTCTACTCTATTTCTGGATGCTTTCGTATATATTGTGTAGGTATTTGGAGCATGTGCATGCTAAACTGTATAAACAGACTTAAAGTATAAATCTGTATCCTTCTGCTAGAACATGAGCTTCAAAAGAGGCAAATTAAGTAAATAGTCAGAAGCAGACATTGTTTTTCTGGTACTCCATTAGTATTTTGTAATACTGTTTTCCAAGCTCACTACTACAGACAAAAGCAATTCTGTTCAGTTTTTTTGATCATCAGATACTGTCATAGATACCAACTGTGATAGTTGCTTTTGGAATGGTTAGTCACAGGAAGGTATAGATTAAGCTTCCAGATGTATTTCATTTTGGATATTAACAAGCTCATCTACTTACAACTTTTGCCACTGACAAGCTCAGCTCAAGCAGAACAACGCCCTAGATTTCAGGAAATTTTTACATTTTTTCTAAATCTTCAAGACCTGTAAAGAGGAAAGGATATTAAAAAACTTTGAATAGCATGCCTGCCACCTCAAATAAGCTGAAAGCTTTCAGTCCTGTAGTGAAAGAGAAGCTGAATTATCTGGGAGTTCAGACTTCCTGATAAGCACTGACAGTTAACTCTTCTTCCTTTGTGACCAAGGGACAATATTACCGTAGCTACAGTATGTTAGGTTTCTGGCACATCTATCTTAAGCTAGAAAAGTTACATGAATTCTTCTAGTACGAGCACATATCTTAGAAAAAAGATAGGTACTCAGTAGCCACAATGCCTGCTCCAGCTAGATTTGTTCAAAAAGGAATTTAAAGTGGCAGTACTGTCACTGAAAATAATAAGATAACAAACACTCAGCTTGACATATTTATTTTTCAAGGTCAATAAATAAATGTAAATACACAAATTTGGAAAAAATCTTAGTAACAGAATGTTTTTAAACAACATTCTGGCTTAAAGTCTTTGTTATTGATGCTATTGTAATATTTTCTGATCTGCTTAAAAGTAGGTAAGTCATTATGTTGGTGATCCTCTATCACATTAATTTGAAGAAGTTAGACTGCTGCAAAGGAAAAAAGACACCACCTTTGCTTTGACACAGAAAATTATCTGAACTGCACATATTAAGTATCAAAATTACTTTTCAGGGCATGACTTTCCTAGAGAATAGAGAAATTTTTAAATTTACAGTTTGCATATTAGAGACCTCCTACCATTCATTACTTCATTATTATAAAAGGGTAATTGTAACAGAAGTGGGGAAAACAAAAGAGAAAAAGGCATGGAGGAAATAACTGATACAAACTGGCCCTTTAGTTAATAAGACATTCTTCCTTTCTCCATCTAATTTTCATTCTAGGTTCATAACAACTTTATGTGATGACTGGTTCCCATCACTGCGGCAAGCCTGCTTAAAATAATTTCAAAGCAGCTTTTTACCCGTGTACTTGTGTTTAGACACCCTCTCTCTTACAGGCATTCTGCAAACACCTGAAACCAGGAATGTCATGTTCCCCCTGGCTGCCTTAGTTTTCCCAGATCATTGTATACTAATGCACTTACCCAGGTTTAGAGCATGAATACACAACTTGTCCAAGAGAAGCAGCCTTTTTTAAAAGTATCTACAAATTGCTAAATATAAATTTTTATCAAAAACGTTCAGCAAGAAGGTAACTGTTATTGACTTAATGGAAGTGGAGGAAGATTTGTGGTTCCCTCAAAATTCAGCAAGTATTCTGCTTCTGTATTCTATAAATACTACAAGATGCAACATGTTTATTTGGTTCCCATAAATTAGAAAAATCTGGTTTCCAAAAATTCTAAATTAGTGATTTAAAAAACAAAATATTACACCTAACCACCTTTCCAAACAATTTCAGAGAGCAGCCTCGCTTCTCTCTCACCCTTCAGAAGTGTGCTTTTTAAGGATACAGGATTTATAAAACAAGCAAAAAAAGTGTGTTTTTAACTACAGTACACTTGCTTAAATATACAAGTGGACATGTTAACGTCATGTTAAAGTTCAAGGTACTTCTGGAAAAAAGGCAGATAGTTATTTTAACTCTGCATTCTTACATAGAATAATGATTATTATAGACCTTAGTTTCCTCTCATCATTCACCTATTCATATGGAGAAGTCAATAAATAAAAACTTATCTGGTCCAGTTTACCTACAAGAGAAAAAATACTAAAAGAAAAAGAAGTTACCTATAAAATTACTTGTTTAACCCTGATAATATCTGAGTTGCCATACCCAGTTTGTAATTGCAAGAAAAGCAAACAATATTCATCTTGCTTATTAATAAATGCCCCATTTTCTATGACAATTTTTTTGTATGATGCCTATCAAGTCACATATTTTTGGGGCAAGAAAGCTGGCCAGGAGGTGCAATGATAGCAGTAACACAGTATAAATCTGGGTTCAAAAAACGAACATACCAGATCCAGAAGCAAAGAAATCTGGACACACTGAGGAGGCAGTGCCCAGCTGTTATTTGGGCTCTTGTGTCATGAAGACTATACCCAGCCTAAGATATAGTTTCATACCATGTAAGTAACACAGAACTCTGTTGTGCTAGTGTACAGACTTCAGGAAAAAAGTCTTACACAAAATAAATTACCTCCTTTGTTTAGAGTAGAAGATAAAATAGCTTACTAACTGATGTAATGAGTAATGGATGTCACTATGACACAAAACTTGACATGATTTGTGTGTTCAGCTACAAGGTGCAGTATTTCTTATGACTAACTCAAAGCACAGCCGCGTTCAACTGTGATTTGGAATTCCATCTTGAGCAGCACGCACTATGACTTTGAAGAAAGTCTTTGATTGTAACAAAGTCACCCATCCTCTCTTGAAACATGAACAAAATCCATGGGGTAATCAGGCACAGGCGGCATGTAACGGGTTTGTCTTCCTTTTTACTCCTTGTTTTTGCTTCTGAGAACATGCACTTGGCTCCAGACTAAATCCATTTTCTATTACAAGAGAACACAGCTATTCTTCTCTTTTTCTCTCTCTTTCTCTCTTGGCTCTTTACGTTTGCGTTCATTACTCCCAGATTGTCTTCCACTTGCTGGAGAAGCAGCACCTTGCACCTGCTATGTAGAAAAAATAAAACCTTGAATAAAACAACCATTATTGCAGATGCAGTGTGAAGTATTACTCTATGTTCAAGTTCACAAACAGGATTTAAACTATTATGCAAACAGCAGAATTCAGGAAGGGTCTTTTTATGTAAATACTCCAGAACTGCCACAAAACTTCTTATTTCTAAAAATGAAGTCAGCTGAAAATACATTTCAACTCCTGTGTGTCCACTTCTATTGTGTCTACATATTCAGATCAGTTGTTTCAATAATAAAGTTTGGCTTCAAGCGTTTTCTGGCACTTCTATATTACTGTACTGGAATTTTTTCCTCATTTCTTTTATAGGAACATAATACACATTTCAAAAGTTGCTGAGTGAAAGTGTTGGTTTTGACAGCTAGATATGGCAAAGCAGCAGCTTTTTGTGACTAGAAACTCATTAAGAACTTGGCAAGGGGGTCAATATACAAAAGCAACATGAGTTTTGTTAATCATGTATTCCAGCTGTTATCCATTCAGAGCTGCAAATGAGCATGCTGTTAAAGTCCTGTTAAGCAGGTTCTTCAGTTCCTTCTACTTTTTGCAGTCAGAAGTAGTGAATCTTTGTCTTGGAAGTAGCTACTGATGATTCTATTAAAACAACAAGCAGTTAAAGTAACAAAACTTTTAATTGTCAAAATTCTTATTTCATGCTTAACAAGCACACCAGTTACTGGTTCTGAATTGCTTCAGGCCATCAAAGATTCAACCCTCATACAGATTATTTTTTACATATTTGTAAATAAAAGCATTTTAAAAGTCTTCAGCAGTTAAGATCTCCCTGAATCCAGAACACCAACTTAAATATTGCCTCTAGCACACAAGATTTAGTTATATGGCTATTTTGTATATACATGTGCATGAATCACATTTTCTAAGCATTCTCAATGCAACTGCCTGTGGGGATGAGACAAAAAACTGTACTGGGAGAAACTTAATTTCCTATTTTGAAACAGAACCGAATAGATTCACATGATATGACAAACACCTGAAAACGTAAAGCAACAAACTTCTGCAAGACAAAGACAAAATTTTGACTACTGTCAAAAAGCTCTTATTTGAATGCTGTTTTGCAAGTAACAAAATATTAGCTAATACAATCTTTGTAACCTTATATATTAACTCATTCCATCACTCCAACTTAAATCATATGAGTGAAATCCTAATTTAGAGGGTTAGGCCTGCTTTAAAGTATTTAAGTGGCAGCACCTGCTGTATCAGCATGCATGCTCCAACAATTATAGCGTATTTCTTAAAATTCCTACATTCATCTCATCACTTGCTGTGTAGAATGTAAATAGCAGTCTTAGTCTGAAACATTTACAAACACAGATGTATCTGTCTAACAATTAAGCTAATACTCCCAAAGCTAATGATCCTATTCCATAATAATTCTTTCTTACCTGGACCTGAGCAGCTGCTTGTTCTTGTTCCTGATAGAACTGAGAAGCTCTCCTGTCCTCCTCTTCTTGGAGCTTCTTTGCTAGCTCTAGATCGCTGATTCCTTCTGGAATCTGTTCCCAGTTAATATCTTGATTTTGCTGCTCTTGTTGTAGAGACAATGCCATCAAATAATCCTAAACAGTAAATTTGTTTATTATTGCTCTTTCACATAGAAAAGAGTCAGGTCATATCAAGTGATTTTTTTTCATCACGTGTAGCTATACAGTACCATCACTTCTCTTCCAGCCTCATTTTCAAACACATTTACCTTATGGAAAACCGGAATTTATTTCAGAACCTTTTCATAACCTGACCTGCAGAAAGGCTGGAAACAGCTACTTTACATTTCTCCTTTCACAGTGCCTATGTCACAGCATACAAAACACAGAAGCTGCTTAAAAAGAAATTGCTTTCAGGTTTAAACTCCATTACCTGGACAGCAGCAAAAGACAGTGTCAGCTCATACCAATTCTAGGTAAAAGTAATGATTTTGAAGCTGTCTCTTGTATTTTGCTATTTCTAATTAACACTCTGATTATACTTGATAGAGTATCTATCCCCACTCCACTGAACCAGTGTTGAGAGTATATCAACAAGGAACGCTAACTCCTAAACAGATGAGAAAAAAAAATCAAAAGGTAGCTTTGGATATATCCAGACAGCAGCTCAAGATATTATTAGCCCTGTTATCTCTGTCATGTTCTTGATTCTACAGAAAGATACAGTGCTTGAATTTATTAAAAACCATCTGCTTATTCATTTTTTTTCCTGGTACTTAAAAAACATTAATGGTGATTATTATAAACTTCTTTTGCTTGTTCAGAATGTTAAGATTTCCAGGGAGCTTGGTCTTGCTATGTGCTTATGCATTAACCACTACAAGTAACTCCTGTCTCAAACATGATTTCTGCAAACTATTATATACAGTTAAGAATAACAAATAACCACCATCACACACAATCTGATATGGTTTTTGTGCTACATTCAGCAAAGTGGGCATCAGAAGGCAAAGTTCAGTTATGACAATATTAATGAGCTGAAATGAATTTGTTCCAGGGGATGAAGTTTCACAGTGCTGTTTCTGCTTCCATATACAAGGCAGATGTGACATTTCACCTAAATAAGTTCTTTGCAGAAGTGGATTCTAAGAGATTAAAATAGGATTTTCCAAACTGTTCACTCTCTTGAAGTCACACTAATCCTTCAAAGTAGCACTTTCGAGAACCCCAACCTAAGAATTTTTGTATATATGCATCTGATATATGCATGAGTACATATGCATACACATCTCTAAGTATACATATATAGGAATAAAAACAAGTACTAATTGTTATATATAGTCACAAACAAACAGGAAAGCAATAGAAATGCAGAAATCCAGTACTTGATCTATTTGATCCTGCTGCCCTCTATAGACAGTTTCAGGGTCTGATGGAGGCCGTAGGTGGAATTCAGAATCACAGAAATTTCCATCACCATCTACATTGTGTAAGCTTTCCCAGACAACTTTCTCTTCTGTAAGAAAGCCTTGGTCTGTCACGAGCAGGTAAAGCTGACCCTATGCAGAAGAATAAGGAAAACCTGTAAAACTAAAAATCATTTTTTACAATCTGATATGATTAGCAGAAATTATCAGCTAAGACAACTGTTGCATTCCAGTAAAACATTCTTTTAGATTTTTAAACAAGTTTAAAATTTAAATGAATCAGTATACTGCATTAAAACATCAGATAACAGTATTAATTGCTAAATTAAGAGCCACATCTAATTTCTGTATTCCATCTTGTAATTTTTCATTATTAATGAAAATTCATATCAACTAAAAATTAATATAAAACATGAATATATACCTTAATAACTCCTTGGAAACACAGCTAAGTAGTATACCTCAAGACTGGCAATGTAAATTTTAAATCCCAGGACAAATCACATGAAATTCCAAAGGCAAGACCTGGAAACAAAGGTGATCTTTCCAAATAATCCAAGAGGCATTACCTCAAAACGACCACATCTCAGACTTCATGTTTCGTAATGAGTTTTGACAGAACATGAGGTTTATTTCAATTGAAAAAAAAAAATTTAATATTCTTGCTATCACCTGTCACCAATAACTACTTTTGCTGGATTTTAGCCTTTTTACAGTTCCATATGGTCAAATTTCTCAATTTAAAACTCTGAAATTATAAAATGGGCTGGTCTGGGAGTGAAAGAAACAATACCAACAAGTCCAGAAGCCAAGATACAGGAAGAATGAAATGCAAGCTTAGGTTGAAGGAATGGGAGAGGAGCTGAAATCAAAGGGAAATTACAAAAGCAGGCCTCCAATGAAAGGAGATGGCGCTGCATGTTTCAGGGACAGCAAAGCAGCACAGAAATCCATGTTTAAATTTCAATTTAAATTAGATTTTAATCTTATGCTACCATTTTTATAGTGTTTCTTGAATTACACTCCAAAGCAAGAACACTATTAATGACCATACAGCACATTAAGACTGAAACTTCCATTAGTATTGCTGAATGTACCAGATCAAGATACTCAATAAAAAACTTGTTGCCATGTTTAAACTGTAAAAATCAAAGCAGTTTATTGTGACATCCACAAAAATTTGCTATTTGTATTACAGCAGCACACAAAGGGTTCTCTTTAGATGGATGAGAACACAAGAGGCAGTTTCTGTTCAGATGATCTCATAGGCTGGACAGGCAAAAAATTAAAATATTGCCCCTGTTCAGCAAGAACAAAACTATCTCACCGATTCCTCTCAAGTCATTAAAATGACTATCTATAAGAGATGCTGAAATTCAAAATCAGGTATTTCAATCCTACTAAGTCTACAGCCATCCCTTCTGCAGCTGGTAGATCATACAACATAGCAAAAATATTATTTGAAGATTCACATGCAGCAATTGTTCTAGTATTACTTAATAGCATAAGACACGCTCATACAAAAGGCCAAACAGAACAGTTCAAACACCCACAAAGGATACTACTGTATGTTCAAGTTTTGGAATAGCAGTTACCCCAGCAGAGGTGGGCTTACAGACATAAATACAATTGTCAGTAACAAGTCTGATCACATAATGTGATCTAAGGAATCATCTTTCTTTCAGAAACCTGCCTAAAAACTGAAAGCTACTTCTGATGATTAAAAATCACCCAAAGGAAAAAAATCTCACAACATTTCCAATTTATACAGAATACACATTTCACAGCATCATATATATAAGAAGTCTTTAAAAACATGCCGAAATTTTTTTTTTTTATTCACACAATCTTTAAGGTAAGTGGTTTTGAACCTTTTAAATTTTATTTCAACCAGCAGATTGAGTCAAACAAAACCTAAAAAGAAAAACGTGGGGGATCGAGTTCTCCTCTATTATGCCATGCATTCTGAATTACTTTAAACAGTTCATAAACAGTGTAGCTTAATAATAATACTGAAATAGAAAAATGTGAATGCTTTCAAAATCTCCCACCTATTGTAAACTGAACTTTTCACACACAATATTAAAGTATACCATTACCTTCATGGGATTAAAACCTAGTCTCTGTCATTCAAAAATATTTTAAAGCTAACACTTGTTGGAAATAGAGAATTGCTTCAATCTTAAATAAAATTCATATTCTTTCTTTCTTTTTGTAAGACTGTCTCAGTTGAACTTTACCTGAACTCTGATTTTAAAAATGCCATCTTAAATAAAAAAAAGTGAAACGCAATAAGCTGCATTACATACCACAATATTACCTAAACAATACCATTCCAATTCCAATACCAATCGCATACTTTAAAAACATGCTGCCTCACTTGAACAAAATCTAGCAAACCAAACACAAGCTCCCTAGCACTCATGAAGGGACAAAGTTCCTTTTCACTTTATTGGAATTAAAGAAAAATGGGAAAGCACAGATCAGAGATCCATTTTTCCCTATTTGTTTTTTATCAAGTGCTCCGATTGCTATTTCATACTTGTACAATCCAATAGAATTTCTCAAAAAAAATAAAACAAAAAACAGATTCCCAAGGACCCTCACAGTATTGCTAATATTCATGTAACTTTGATAATAATTGGACAACTTTCGGTTTCATATACAAAGTAAGAAGAGTTGTGTCGTTTTGTATTAGGTGTAATGCAGCTACTCACCTCTACAGATATCAGTCGTCCTAGAACTTCAATGGTTTTGTTCCTTCTATGTGCAACAAGCAAACAGATGCCATACCTATGGACTGTTTTTACAGGTACTGTTTTAATGCCATGCATTTTCTCATCCTAAATGCTCACAGGTCAACTTCGCTGGCACAACCAAATTCCACCAAGGGGATTTTGAGATATGAGAAAGTCTTTTTATGGTATCACCTTTACACTGCCTCTAAATCTGACATGCCTGGTGTTAGGAACCAGCCACCATTCTCCAGCCCTTCCCAGATCATGAGATCAGTCTAGCTTGTAGCCCACCAAAGTTTCTGCACTTCAGCTCCACTCAGTGCAACACACAAGGAGGAAAAGGGCAAGAGGGCACACAGTGACAGAATCAGTAAGAATTATTAAGAGTAGAAACATTTATTTATACTGAACTAAAAAAATTAGGAAGGAGGCTTTAAAAAAAAAAGGGTAAAAACCAGAATGTGTTCTCTCCTTTATAGATCATGGTCCTCATTCTGCATTTGCTTTCTAGTCAGGGTTAAAGCTGAAGCTAAAGCTAAAACAGGATGATCAGCACACTAAGGTCATGCAATTAAGCTAACTAATGTAGATAAATATGCTTTTCAAGGACACCTTGCCAAGAACAGTATCATACTTCACAATATCAATGTGTTTCTACCTTCATCAAATCTTAACTGGCCATTTCTAAAGCATTACCAGCATATCTTCTAGGTTTATTTTTAAATGTGGGGTTTTTTTAATAATACAGTCTCATGCGTTAACACTGCTCCCAAGAATACCAGCACATAATATACAGTAATAGTATATACTAATAACTGTTGTCAAGAAGGAATAAAGCAATAAAAGAAAGTCTCAAGTGCATAACGTAAGGTAAATTGTGCCTACAATAAAGTTATGAGTAATTACTTATCCTAAGAGTCAGTATCTAGATATTTTAGACCAATGCCCAGATTTTATAGTTTCATATATAAAAACTGTAAATAAAGCTAAGGATAAAAGATTATTCTCCTGAAGAATGATCTCTTAGTTTTCTCATTTGCACAAAATCACCTCTCTGAAATGCAGACAGATATAGGCTGCTGGTGATCCTACTGGTTAGAAGACCTCCTTTTCTGGGTTAATTTCACGACCAGATGAAGCAATTAAAATTAATGCTTTGCAGCTACTTGTTCTGATGCCAATTACCAAGTTTCCAGCAGTTTAGAAAACTCAAAAGGAAAACCTAACACTTGTCCAATAGCTTCATACAGCAAAGACAAACATTTTAAGCCTTATCCTTTACAGTCTATGTAAATGTTCTCTTGGACTTCTGGATCAGACCCCTTGGTATTTACAGAGGTGGTTTATGTTGACATAAATGAGTGCCATTATTTTGAGATTAGTCTAATCTATCTGAATGGTTTAACTTAGAGAAAATTAAGACTTTTTTAAAGTATACACCATTTGATTCAATAGAGTAACCCTCAGAATAAAAACTGTACACTTACCAAGAAATTGAAAAATATTTTAACATGTTTTTAAGAAGTTATATACATTGCCTCTACTATGCCAAACTCAGACATCATCTTAAATGACTAAGGAAAAAGTGCAATTATTGCTATGAAATACACTTTGTATTTGAATAAAAGTCTGTGTGGAGTTCTGAAACAGAAACCCAACATTTATAAACTAGAAAACATAATTGAAACACACATACGTAAAAATCCAAACAAGTAAGTGTCTTGTTACTTTTCAGTAAAGAAATCAGGTTGCATTACAGTCACGTCAGTGGGAAAAACGTTCCAACTGAACTGAGATATTCTTACCAAACTGATCCCCTCTTTACAGTCCTGTTTTTCCTTGATCTAGGGAATTATCATTTGATGTATTTATTATCTGTGTAATGAAAAGCAAAGGCAAAAAAAAAAAAAAATCACATCTTTAACTGCTGAAAATTATTACTGTATAATCACACGAGCCAAGACTATTCCTATGCAAATAAAGGCATAGCAGGTAGAGTAAGTGACTACTTGGGCAAACGGACAAATAGTGAAAGAGATTAAGAATCTGATAACTGAACTGCCATTATTAACTAACACTCACCATACTTCAAGAGATGACTAATATATTACAGAGTTGCCAGACTTGCTTTTCTTTTATATGCAGTAATTCTTAAAAATAGGTTACATAATTTTTCCATAAACATAAACGTGATGCTAATACTTGAATTTTTTTCAAATCAGAAATGACAACACATTGTATTTTGCAAGTTTTATTAAATTTTCGGAAGATAAATACTAAAATATGACTTATTCAATACTATATTAATTAATATAAACTGATAATTGAACTGATGGTCTATTCTGAAATGCAATCTATGAATCTTCACAATTACACTGTGGTATCAACTCAACAGCTTTAATAAAAACACTGAAGTCTTCAGAGGAAGATTACTTCAAAACATTTCATAGTAATTTCTGAAAAAACTCACTCTCCACCATTCTTCTACTATTGTTACTTTATTTGTCAACTTCCACGATTTTAAAGCGAATGCTGTATCTAAAACAGAAGAATTATTATTGAATGAACCCTTTCCATTTAACTCTTATTCCCAGAGTTGGGAATTCAGAAGATACATAAAAATGGCACAACAGCTACCTGCCTGAAGATTAGTCTTTTAGAAGTGTCCATATACTAAAATGAACTACTTCAAAACAGTAACAAATATTTTCAAATACAGTGAAGTGAACTACAACCAGTTTTCCCCCTTTTGCTTTTTCTCTTGTTCACAAGTCAAATACTCTTTTTAAAATAATAAATATTTTAAAAAGTGTTCTAATACAATTTCTCACCTATTATTGTCCAGCCCAAAGCATTATCTTCATCCCCATATCTAGTGTAGAAATGCCTTTAGATGCATGCTAGCAGAGACTGTTAATAAACTTTTGCCTACAGTATATAGCAGCACTGATACCTCCCTCATCTATACCAGATATTAACGTTCCTGTATGTTCATAAGCATTCTATTTCTGATCTTGCAAGAAGCACTGAAGAGTAAAAAAACCCAAATACCTATTATTGTTAATTAAAAAATAATATTAAAAACAAAGCCACATTTGTGAGGAGTCACTCCAGTTCCCTTCCTTACAAATTCCTTTACTATTCATGCGAAAAAATTTTAAAATATCTTGGAGTCCTAGAGACAGTGCACACAAAGCATGAGTATATTAACCAGCCTAACAATCGTACTAGCTGGGCACTAGTATGCCAAAAGTTTCCAAGGAGTTCTTGCCACTATGCAACATTTTGTAACAGCTGCCAATGAAAAAATTTTCAAAGCAAAGACACAAGAATTCAGAATACTACGCTGTTTATTCACACTTTCACGTAACTCTCATTTCAGTAAAACAGACCTCTAAAATAAGCAATCCAAAAATTAAGGTCAAGATCCTTTGATCTGACAGTGGAAAGCCACTCTAAACTCACTATAATTTGGTAAAGTGTTGTCAGTGTTAGTAAATCTTCTATTTTTAAGTTGATACTATGTATCAAATAATAAATACAGCAAGCTCTTTGTAATAAAGACTTAAAAACAGGAAGGTCAAATTATAGGCACAAGGGATGTTACTGGTCTCCACCTCTCCCATTTCTGATCTAAAATTTCCACAGGATTATCCCTAATTAAGGAATGATAGGCAAGTGCATATATAATGTATTTTAAAACAGAAAATATCTATTAGATCTAAAACAAATTCACCAGACGGGATGTGGAAAGAATTCTAATATAATTTTTAAAAATAGATCTGTTCAACCAAGCACCACAAATATTACAAATGGCTCAGTCACAATAATATGGTGATTATTATGTGGCATCAATACAGAGCAGAATTAAGGCAATTTGGATGTGTCTGTTTTATTAGAAAAACTAAGATGCTGAACTTTAAACTGTCTCCAATTTATGAATTTTGCTCTTTCCATTATTTCAGTATCACCAAGTATTTATTTTTTCTTAAATTACTCGCACCTGCTCAATTCTAAAGCCAATTCTAGAGAAGCATGTAAGAGAACTTGTAACAGGTTTCTGCATTTCCTTCGAAAAAGCTTAGCAATCTGACGTTTTTTTTTCCTTCAGATCAACCTACATTCTACTTTCTTTGAAATACAACATACTGAAATCCAAGTCCTTGCACTAAAATATCAGTCTTAAAACACTCCACTGAACTTAAGAAATATCCCCAGTATACAAATCCCTATCAACTGTACATGAAAGCTTCCTATAGAAGTTTAACTATTAGCTTCATTAGAATAAACAGCCTAACATACCTAAGGGATTTTAATTATAAATTCTTGTTAATGATTCAAAGTGTACACATTTCTAAAAATACACAAGTTTTATTATTCATATATAACTTATATGTATAACTCCCTTTCATTTAACTTCAAACCAATATATGGAAACATACAAACAAAACAGGTATAGAGGGGGAAGAGGGAAGGGCAATGTTACAGAAAGACAACTGCATAGTTCTTGCCCTAAAAGTTCTACACCTTCACTTTCTCTGGCATATGCTGTGTCTTCAATTTTCCTAACTGATGTACTTTCCTGACTACTGCTCAAACTGTGAAGTAAAGGAAACTCCATTAAAAATCTACTGAGCTAGCATTAAACCTAGTAAAAGGTAAGAGCGAAAGATTTCTGGATAGCTAATCTTGGCTAAAAGCCAATTTCCATTTCAGAAGTGTAAGACTTCTCAAAAAGGACAAGATTAAAACCACAGTGACTTAGAAGCAGTAAAGCTTAAACACAATACTAACAAATGCTACTACTTTTCAAATATTTCAACTCAGTATTTCTTAGGACTTGGATTTAGTTCTTACAGTTGAAGTTCAGACACAGATCTTTTTACTCACTGCCATAATCTGTTCTTTATATTTAACTTATTGAAGTGTTGCATTTTACGTCTTTTTTTTTTTTAAGGAAAAAGGATCTCAAGTGAGAAGTGTATGTTTACAAGTATGAAGTTCATAAAGCACTGACAAACACACACCAAGTTTTGACCTTTAATCTAAATACTGGGCTGCAGAAGCTGACAATCAATCTACATTCTACAAACAAAATTCTGTATTTATAATTCACAAGGTCAAAATGATACCCATTGACTATATTTAATACAAAAAATATTTCTTAAAGTTTTAATAATAGCACAAAAATTAATTATTTCCAGGAGGATTTGAACATTTCATCTGGAATATCTTTTAAACTAAGTAAAAAAGGCTTCCTGCTCCTCTAGGTACCATTTGTACTCAGAAAATGCATTTGCACTTCTACTTAGTATATTATTTCCAAAACCAAGTTGTTTTCAGGTTGTTTCTCCCCCCCCCCATAATGAAAGCAACCATAAAATAATGTACAGGCTTACATGATAAACTACTACCAACTACTGCAAGAGCTAAATGGAGGGAAGCAAAACTTTACCTCTTATAACTGTGACATGAATGAGCTTCATCTGGAAATGTAACAATTATAATTCTGACCATAAACAGATACACTCCATAGCCTTTTTTTTTTTTTTTAAAACGGAGGAAGAGAGAATAAAGATCCTTTTCTTTTACCTGTCCTACTGCTTTAAGAGAATATCACTGTACATAGATTTAAAACAAACCTTACACGTGCTCTAATCTATTAAAAAAACAAATGTGTTACCTGTTTGTAGAGTTAATCATTATTTATCAGAACTGTTTAGAGCTTCAGCTCAGCTTATGAGTAGTCATTCAAAATGCCAAAGATATGCATTGACAGTCAAGATTAACAGACAGACAGGAGAAAAAAGGACTAGCACTGCCAAATGGAAAAGTTAGTATCATTCACATGAGGTATATGACGTTACTATGCAACAGATGACAAAAAAAGTGGTTCTTAACGGTTCTGTAGGTTACATGCCCCTCTTCATTTATTACAATTATTCATAAACACAAGTGTACCTGAAAAGAACATCTTATTTAATAACAGATAATTAAAATATAATTTCAAGAGTTCTATACGAAGGTAAAACCTCATACGTATGTTTGAGAGAAATGTCTAACTCTAAGGATGATTTTACATTGAAAGTCAATGAAAAGTTTACCTCAAAACATTCACATTTATCACTGAAGAGATGGGAATGATTAAATCTTGAGACAGTTTGACCATGCCCCTTTCTACCCAAGTCAGATACATAGAAATATACTATCATCTTAGTTGTGTTAGAACGAAGATTCTCCATAAATGATTGTAAACTTGCCAAGCCAGATTCTCCATTCCACAGAGTCCTAGAAGCATTAACCAAGTTGTCACTTGCTTTTTGTATCCTGAAGTACTCCTTTTACAATTCTCATCACTTTGGTTCCCCAGTTTCAGATTCAAAAAAAACAATCTCTTTCCTAAAAAAGGGAACCAATATTGCAGCTCATCTCAACTTCTCTGGTATTTTGAACATCATCAGGGAGCTACTCATCATCTTGCTCTCGGAAACAAGAAGTTAAATGAATTCATTAACCTTATCATGTCCATTCACAAACTGCAAGTATATTTAAGCCATGTAAGAAATGTATGTCATTATACATAACCACATAGAGTTAACACAGGGATCAAACGGAACATAAAGGGAAGAGCTACAAGAAGATTTAAAATGCAAATCACAACAATAAAGACAAAAATGTTGAATATACCTTGTATTTGGTCATGGTGCTAAATGGTTGTTCCTGAAGAACACACAAAGCTCTCCCTCCTGGACAGCTGAAGTCAACTCACACAGTCCATGGTATGTCAACTGTGTAGCTGTGTTATTTAGAAATTGCTCAGCTACAAATCCTACAAAAGGAATACATACTGTTATGTGTATCTATTACATACCTTCTAGTATAGAAAAATACTGCCATTGTAACCAGGTTTTATAATTCCTCCCTACTAAGATGTCCCCATATTGCCACAAATCTAAGGGAACACATTCAGAGAGGGGAAAACAAGCTGAGAGTTATAAAACCTCAGCATTGTAGATAACCCTTTCATGTTCAAAAATGCTGTATCTGCTCCTAATATTACTGATTTTTTCCTTGTCATCATGTAGTATATAATTCATATTCTAATTACTGGAGATAATCTATAGCCAAGCTGAAATCTCAATGCCACCCATAATACTTTTTCATAAAAGGAAGTTCTCTCCAGCTTTTTAAAAAGTATATTTAATAGATAAAGAAAATGGGTTTTATCCTTGGTTTGCAAACTATATCAGAGAAGTTTACAGGACAAGCATGGTGCTGTCTGCCTGCCTAGGCAAAGAAGTTCAGCAGACAGCATGCAGCTCTTCACACTTCTGCCTCTTCATAAAGGCCCACATACAAAACATGTAACCAATACCTGATAAGGTAGATACTTTGATAAAGCATAGAAAAAAGTTACCCACCTTCACTAACCAGTTCACTGTTGTCTGACTGCTTACAAGAAATTATCTTCTCCACTAACTGATTGTAACTGCAGTTCCCAACCGCTTTTACTATGTCAGCAACCTGGAGCAGGAAGGAACAGCATACAAAACAGAGAACTTACCTTTGTGAAGAACAGAACACAACTGTAAGCTTATGACAATTATTCATAAGAAAATAAGAGTTTCAATAGAAAGGACATTATCCTCCTAAAAATACTAGTCCAAAAAGTTTTAGCCCAGACTTTTATATATTTTCCTTTCTCAGATCCCATTTTAAATCCTTAGGTTAATGCTTAACATCAAAAGCTGTTGCTGAAGTGGATGGAGGAGAAAATGGGGCATCAGTTGGCTCAGTTGGGCAGAGGGAAAGTCCAAGGGAATAAAAGAATAGCAACTTACGTGAACAAGGCAAGAAAAGGAAAAAAAATAAATCAGAGGCAGATTTTTCTAGTCAAACTCAACAGCTTCCCTCTAAGTAATCAGTACCAGTTTGCTGTTTATTAAATAATGATTAAAAAATAAATTATGTTTGTTAAAGATGCAGTTCTCTCTAACCAGTTCTAACATCTTCAGTTCTCAAAAGCAGTGACTAGTAAACCACAATTACAGAAGGGAGGAAAGAAAGTAGCCTTACATTCTTATGTTCCTTCCAGATGTTCTCTAACAAGCTTTCAAAAACAATGACTGGGACACCATATCTGGCAACTTCCTACCTCCCTCAGAACAACAATTCTCATTTACACAGTAATTAATTCAACATCAAAGGTTTTGAGAGTTAGCTTTATGATAGACCTAGTCTCTGCAAAGTTACCACATTAAAAATACGTACAGTCTGTATTCACGTCTCTCTGAAGAAAATACAATTTTTCTGACTAGATTTAAACATCCATTACCATAATCATTATTATTGATTCCAGTTAAAATTCTGAAACATCTCCCAATCCCCCCCATCCTTCCATAAAATTCAGAATAACTTATATTCTGTTTGAATTAATGAAAAAAAAAGTTACCTGAGGGTCCACTAACCATCCATGGTACAAGGGGATATCAAGAAGATCAAATACTATGCATTCAGGTGTGTATTCAAATACTCGTACACCTGTGAACTTCACATTGACATCCAGACCCGTCTGTAACTTATGTAGAATCGCCATTGCATCACTCATATTCTGACAGCAGAAAGAAAAAAAAAAAACAGATGACCAAACAGAGCTTTGTAGACTTGGTGGTTATTCTTGTAACCCTTCATCATTTAGTATTCATCAATTCAACATTTCAGAAAAAGAAATTTACAAAAGGGGAAATTAGCTAAACAACTGTTTCAATGCATATTCACCCTCATTGTGCCAGAAGAGATCTGCAAACTAAGAACTCTCCCTCCAATCAGCCGTATCTGACAGTTTCTTCTTCTACACTCATAAATTGCTTTTAGGCACCTCCTATTTCTTTTAGCTCCGTTTCCCATAGCCACAGATGTTTGCAAGAAGAACTGGATTACAAGGGAATCTCTAAGGGCCTCTCTCAAAGTTTATTCTCCCCTTTTAAGTCCTGCTTTATGCATCAGGCTGAAGTACTTGCACCACATAACGAATGAACAAAACAGATCTACACAGATCTACTTCCCAACTCTAATTTGGGAGTTCAGTACTGAAAGTGGTGAACAACAATGCAGACTCTGATTTGCCTTTTTTGTTTTTTTCCATAAAATAAGTTTTGCTATCTTACTCTGGGCATACCTTTAAATGGTCTGTAGATTCTACTGTGGAAACAAGTCATTAGAGTAGCACTTATTATAGTAGTGATCCCAATGGAATCACCAAGTAATGAACATGCAATCACACAAAACAAAGATGAGCTGAAGAAACAGTGCTTTGTGGGACCGTTCTCTTGAAACAACAGACAAATGTTTCCCAACAGGCAGAAAAAAAGAATTTTCCACCAAGTGGGAAAAGTCCACAAAGAGTATCATCAGAAAGTATTTGCAGTATTTGCAAAAGATTCAGGGAAACTCAGGCACTTTTTTGTTTGTTGTCTGTTTTTCTGTTGGTGGGTTGTTTGTTATTTTGTTTGGTTGTTTGTTTTTGTTTGGTTTTTTTTTTTTCTTTTTGCTTAATTTTGCAATATTCCATTGCTTAAGAGGAATTCAAGATTGCAACAACGGGGAAAAAAGCATGACAGAAAATAGAAACACAGATTGGAAAGGAGATGGAGATAGAAAAGATTCACAAACTAAAACCACTGATTATTAGAGGCAGTTGCCTCCGTGTTGTCTTCTTTTAACAAGACAGTTAATGGCAAGAACCACAACTAATGGAATCAATAAGGGAAGACAAATACCTGAGAACAATGATGATCGACTATAAAGGACGAATAATGAGAAAATTATTAAAGAGCCAGGTAGGCTAACAAAGCACAAGTGGGGTACATAGTGATTAATTATCTTATCAAACTAAAAGCAACTTGCTGAAATGCAGGAAAATTACAAATAACTGGATTCATTAAACAGTAACGTAATCAATACATTAACTTGACATTCATTTCTGCAGCACGTTCATGCACACATTAATAGAGCAGAATGCCAACACAAGCCTGTGTATTAGAACAAAAGGCAGACCTTAGTATTTTAAGAAGTCAGTTTAAGAAATCAGTCTATGTGCATCTTGTAACTGGGTATTGTAAAAAAATGTACCGGTTAAGCCATACAACATTCGCTAAGTAAACATGCTAAGTGAAGTAGCTACATCACTTAATACTGCATGATCCAATTCTAAGCACAGATTCGCGTCTGTTGGAAAAATGAATGTTACCTAGAACTTGGAAGAACTTTCAGACATCTCTCAGCATGAAACAGTATTCCAAAACAAAGCTTGTACATAAAAATTGTGTAAGCAAACATATATATGTAAAATAGTCTCACCTACAGATCCTTGCACAACACTTTACACATGTAACACTAAGGCACATAGCAAAAATTTCATGTTCCCCAACCTCAGCATTTTAGCTGAAGGAATTACGCTATTCCTCTTAATGGTACGCAAGTTCAAATGTACTTTTTTTCATAATAAAATGACAATAGAACAATAAGCTTGTTCCTACTCTAATTTCAGTTTAGATGCAACTTCTGAAAACTCCTAAAGTTAGTTTATAAACAGACATCCCTCCTTGTTACTATACAGATTTAAAACTGGAAAGCTCTCAGAAGAGTTTAAGCTTATACAGAAAAGCTTATGAACTACTTGATAAAGCATATCTATAAAACACCATCATGATCGTTATCCAGTATCTGCATTTGAGAGTGGTTGCTATGAATTAGAGTTTTACTGCTTGTAGCCCTTTACTGCACTGTTGTGTAAAGTTTCTATTACCAAGAAGGTAACAGCTCCCACCACTTTACTACATGTTGCTTCATCCTTTTGATAACTTTGCTATGACAAGATTTAGAATTTAGCAAGGTTTGTACATAATTCTCAAGAGCTGACTCAGACTTTATTTTTTTAAAGTTTTTATTGTTATAATAGCAAACCAAGCCATCTTAAGAAGTGCATTTCATTAGTAGGAACCAGATATCAAGTATAAAAACCTATCAGAGGTGTTTATGGAGAAATAATGCTATACTCTTGGCTGAAAGAAGAAAGTCTACAGCATTCAGTACTAGCCACCCACAAATTTAGATCATACATCTACAGAATTAGTCACCTTTATTTTGCAATGCTTACTTTGTAAACAAAGCAGGAATACATCAAACCATCCAGAAAACCGCAGAAGTTTCTCACTACAGTTTGAACAGTGTAATTTCTATTTTCGCACCTTCAAAGTGACAAGCTTCTAAAAAAAATGAATGCAAATAAGCGAGGGTATAAACATACTGAACAGTTGAGTTTGCAAGGGACTTCTGGAAGTCATCTGGTCCAGCCCCCCTTCTCAAACTGGGACAGCGAGAGCCAGCTGCCCATGACCATGCCCAGACAGCTTTTGAATATCTCCAAGGGTGAAGATTCCACAACCTCCCTGGGCAACCCGTTCTTAAGTTTGTGCATTAGAACTTGTGCTCTTTTTTTTTTAATCCAACTTTCATTCAAATTTTTAATTAAATCCCTCAACTATGCTAAAAAAATAATGTGTCAACTGAAATTAATATCTTGTCATGATGTTGAAATTATACTAAAATCAAACATTACAAATCCAGCTGCCCACAAAACTTACTTGAATTTCTTGTGTAAGAAAACATATTGTTTTAGGCAAAGAATATAAACTGCATGACAAGATAAACACAAAATTATGATTAACTCCAAGACTTAGTTCCAATGTTTCTGAAACATAGTAATTTTGTAAGACTCAGTTGCCTAATTAGTTTCTCTTTCCCCTCTCATATAAAATCACTCATGCATCTACAAGTGTATTTACAACGTTCCTAGAACAGAACGTTTCTTTCAAATTGTACAGTTAAATATTTAAGGAAGTTTGTGACATTTATGTAGTAAACCCATATATTTGAGCACAAGAAAGCCACAGAGGTTGTACTTTAACTAGGTATATAGGTTTCATCAGCCTCCTGTAAACTGATTATAGCTATAACCTTCCACAGCACAGAACTGTGTGGAAAAAATATAACTGACTTTTTTATTATAAAAATAATTCTTATAATTTGACACAAGTCACATTTTGGATTAATATTGAAAGAATCATTCTACCTTCATTCTAATTTCAACTTGGTTTGGTTTTCAACACTGAATGAGAGTAAGAAAAGACAACCTAATAATAAATAGAACTAGCTTGAAATCTAACACCTATGATAAGTTCAAGTCACTTTTCCATGAGTAATCAAAAAAACTAGCAGTGACCACAGACAAAGCTTGAAAATTCTGTTCCAATATATGGTACATCAATATTTTTTTAAACTAATAGTATCATCTTTAACATAGACTTCTGTGATGACATAAAAATAGTGGTCAGTGCAAATAATATTGCCTTTCATAATACAGAATCAACCTGGTTTTGTCCATCACTACTTAAGAACAGGGATCTCTTTCTTGCCCAGTTTACATCCTCAGAGAAAGTCTAGCAGGCATCACAGAACAGAGCACACTGAAGGATGCATAACAGAAAACTTCAAAGAGCAACCACCCTGTTATATACTTGTCCGTACTTCTGTGTTATAATTCCTCAATAAAACCAAAATTATTTCATCACACTAATTGCAGGCAAAAAAAAAAATACTTGCTTGTGTTAATATATACTGAGTTTTTCTTCACTAATAGGAAATATTTATAAATAATACTCTACATCAAGCCTAGAAAAAAAAAAGGGAAAAATAACTACAAGCAATGGTTTGTATGCTTCCATGTTTTTAAAAAGTTGATACACCTCGGGTAAGAAAAAAATTTTAGTTCCTTCAGACGTAGGCAATCATATTTTAGGAGCAGCTCCTTACCTGCTCATAATTTAGACGCTGAATTTCAGATATCTCTTTAGGTTTTGCATCAAGAATATAGTCTCCTAAAATAAAAAAAAATAGACATTTACTCCACACTCAAAGCTTCAACATTTCTATGAATGCTTCTGACTGAAGCTGACTGATCATAAAAAACACCACTGAAGTTTTCTATCAAATTAATGAGATCGCATTGGTTTATAACCTGAATTATAATTATGGAGTAAAATACTATTATTAAAAAAATAGTAAGATCACATTAAGAAATAAAATTCAAGTGGCCAATGTTGCTACTAAAGCACCATTTCATAATCTCCTGGAGTATCATACCAGTCTCTTAATTATTCAGAAATTTACCTCTCTCTGTGTCCCAACTTAGAAATCTAAAACAGTCAAATAGTTCATAGTAAGATATGTAACTGCATAACAATTTAAAGTCTTAAAACTTAGCCTGACTGATAGTATGAGTACTTTGGCATACATTTCCATAAACCAATAACTCTGAAAAGCTTGTATTCCATCTGCGTCTACAACACAAAGGTAATTAATCAGTTAAGCAACGCACTGGGGTTCAAGATTTTTAACACTTTTAGTGACTAGTATCCATAAACTGCATTCTCCCACATTTTTTAGATTTTGTTTCAGTGCTTTTCATATTTATTCTCCTGTTTGATTCCTAAAAAATGTTTCTGTCATAGAAAAACATCATTATAGGTTTCCTAGTTTATCATCTGTTAAATCAAGATAGTTCAAAGTGGTTGAAGGAATTTTTTTTTTTTTTTTTAATGCTGTAGAAGAACCATTTGGCAACTGCGAACCCTGTTGACTGAACAGGAACCTAAATAATTTGAGCAAGTAATTTTGCTATTCAATTTAATAAGATAATTCCAGAAGCTAAAATATGCCTTCATGAAAGAATACACACATTTAGCCAACTGTGATTATGCTGTGACTTCTAATAGTATTATGCTATCAATACAATTAGAAGAAATGTTTAGACACAGGCAGCAAGATTTCTTAAGACTTATTTTTTTGAAATTATGTAACTAACTTTTTTCTTCCACTGAAAGATTCAGTGATATGCCTTTGAAAAGAACAAGCTACATCCTTTACAAGCAAAAAGAAGGAAAATATAGTAAGTGGGGTTTTTTCTCCTGCTTAATCAAAAATCAAACCTAGTCTGTTAAACTGAAACATTTTATATTTGTTAGGCTACAAAGGGAAAGAACTGTGGCACATACAGCTTAAGTACTACCGCAACTGCACTGTAAAGACCTGGATCATTCCAGGCTATTGAAGCTACAGACTTGTCATATGGAAACAGCTGCAGTTTTGCTGAACACTGATTCTGGTAACAGAGTAGTACCTGCAAATGAGATCCCAATCACTGTGATGACTAGATTACTTTTTTGTTAACTGGGTCATACTACCAATGATCAGCTACTTCTGACAATTAAATTAAATTAAATACTACATTCTGTCAACTGTAACGAAACAGTTAAGAGACATGAATAAGTTTAAATCTACCAGTGTGTTGGTGAAGTAAGCCATATCAACTGCATCACTAGTCTAAGCACTCAAGAAAGCAGTACAGAAAACTCCTAAAAGCAATTAAGGAAAAGTATGAGTAACTAAATACCATAAGTAGTTTCCCAGAAGCATGCGTTCAAGTAAAGCTGAATAAAATATTAGATAAACAGTTACCCTGTATTACCACTCACTAATAGGTATAATATATAATTGAAAAGCATTTATTGTAATTACTAACCTAAGTATTCCATCAGCTGTTCAGCCGTTATGATTTCCATCATTGGTGGCAGCTTAATCTGTGAAAGTAAAAGTATATTCTCTTTAAAATGACAAAACACTACAATTTAGAAAATATCAGTAAGTTATTTATAGATAGAAGTCTTCTGGTCACATTTGCCACACTAATTTATAAGATCATTAGCACGTTGGGACCAAGAACCTTCCAAGGACCTCTACTAAGTATCTTCTTAATCTTCTCATCCTATCTCTCTTCAACATCTTACCATTGAAAGACCAGAAAGTTTGGTACTTATTTTATTAGGAATTTTAAAATCAATTTTCTGAACACTGATCACTGTTCTCCTTGACACAGACAGAAAGACATGATGTGAAATTGTTAACTCATGCTTAAAATTTAAGAGGCTCCAACTACTTTGCTTGTTGTGGAAATGAAAGAGGAAGGAGACAGCCATGAGACAGAAGAACAATACATATAAAGCCTTTGATGCAGCATCCCAAACTGAAAAATACAGGACAGCAACACAGTACACTGTTCACTTGTGATGGAGAGGGTTTCCTTCCCAATCTGAAAACTAAACTATTTTAATAACCTTACAGAGACAATGAGGTGTGATTGGCCTATCTCACTGTCAATTTTAATCATAGTTGACAAAATGCAAATGTATTAAATATAAGGACTTAGAAGAAGTTTCACTAAATTTGGAAGAATGAAGAAACCCAAGTTAATATGGCTTTTTTATTTGTACACTAGGAAATATGCCTATACTTAGGTCAGAATTGGCCTCACATTGATCAGCCTGTAGATGGTGGCATAGAAAGAAGCTGACAGTACTGGGATCCAGGGCATGAAGGGAATGAGAGTATTAATTGATAGTAAAGCAGGAAATTAGTGAAGCATAAATTCATAAGAAAGAAGGCTTAATTAGTTCTGATTTAAAAAAAAAAAAAACACAACACCTTTAAAATTATATTAATTAAGAAGAAAAATGTGTCATGTATGAATGGGCACATGAATTTTTGAAAACATCTTTTAACTGAGTGACAACTGATTGTAAATTAGAATATTTCTTAACCTCTTCCCAAAACTCCTCTAAGTTTCACTATTACTCTTTGATCCTGGTCATAATATTCATATTGAGTATTCACAGAAATATATTGCGCCATGTAAATAACAGGACTACAGGTTCAGAAAGCTAGATCTTACACTTCCAGTTCTTAATTGGCAGCATTCAAGCCTTAGCAAACATTAGCTGTGCACATCCCCAAGTTGCGTCTGGTTCATCACAGCTCCTAAGGCATATAGATGTAACAGCACAGAACAGGGATACTTACACTAGCTGTACCTGAAATCACTCTGGGAGTACAAGTAGTACAGATGTGCCAGTATAATATGAAGGAAAATCAGCACTGCTTCCTCAACTATTAGCTGGACTACTGTGATGACTCCTTCAGGACAGAAACTAGCTCCTTTTATTATTTAAAACCATTCATATTAGCTCAGCCAGCATTGCTTGGGAGTTTCTGCTCTGGACCACATTTGGGAATCCAGAAGTACGCCTACACTAAAAATGGCAGCTGTAAAGCACAAACACATGGGTTATCTATATTTGAGCCCTACATACTCATGGCATAAACGTATTAATGTTTCAGACTTTATGGACTGAAGGAGGCATTATTTGTATCATTGGTTAACAACCTGAATTTTCTCTCACAACTAATGCTAAGCAATTTTTTGTTTTTTTTCAAACTGCAGAACCAAAGCAAAGGAGTTTTACACATATCTATGGAATCACTCATAGTTGAATATTTTAATGAGCTAAATCTCAAAATTAACTGCTTAATTACATGCTAAACAAAGCTAATGGATTACTTCACAGCATAATTCTAGGGCTGGCATGCTTTGTGGGACTCTGATCACACCTTTAAAGTGGACTAATGGAGTTCCAACACAGATGCAACTACTTCTAAACAGAGCTGACTTAAGGATATAGAGAGAATATGACACCTCCTAACTCATCAGAGCTTCATTGCAAGCACATAAGCTACAGGAAACAGGAAAGATAAACACCTTAAAACTTAAGGGAGAGAGAAAAATCATACAGAACCACACTCATTCTCCACATAAATAGACAGAAGAAAACAATGTAAGCAACACTAGTGAAAGCTGTTGTTGTCCATAACAATTTATTATTTTGAGGGACAAGTTTTCTCAACAGGTTTCAATGCTTAGTTGCTAGATTCTACTTAAGTTTTAAATTTTAGGATGAACACGTTTCCTCAACTCCCCACCCATTTCCTGTACCCCTCTACTGCAGTTTCCTGGTCTTTTGCCCTGATCTCTCTTCCTAACTCTAGCTACTCTTAACTTCCCACATTCAGGAGTGAGAAACTAAATCTTTCTCACCCAATTATAATGAGAAGTACATTTGAGCCACCCTTGTAATTAAATACAAGATTGGTAAACAAATTTTCTGAATATATTGAACAGTTTGTCTAGTACAACTTACACAGTTTTGACACGTTAGATGACAGGCTGGAAAACTACATAAGACTAATTTCAAATATTTTCTACTGTATTCTCCCATTCTTCAGGAGGACTTAAAAAAACAGTTAAGTTATATAGTCCTGCACAGAAGTTAACACTTCCGAAAATACTATGCATATAAAAAGGGACCATGAAAATTTCTAATTATTTATTATTTATAGTCTCAGAATGTGTTTGTCTAAAATATGCAACTCCCCTGAATTCAGTGTTCCAGAAGAGACAAAGGTAGCTTCAAGCTGCCTTGACAAAAAAAAAAAAAAAAACAACAATTAATACTCTCTGCAAATGCATACCTCTTGCCTTTCAGGAACAGCTTCATAAACTTATCACATGATAGCCTGATAGTACATGCTGCCACCCAATAATAGCTCCCGCTCAACCAGGTTTCCTTCAGTCCCTCCAAGCAGGCTTCCTGTTCTGGAAAACGCACAGCTACAGGCCTCATTCCTAAACTCAACTCATCCCACAGATGCAGGGAGGAAGGCTGCCAAGGCCTCTGCTGAGCATTCATCAGAAGCTCACCAGCAACTCACCTTTGGAGACTGAGCAAGTTCATCTGAGCAATCTGTGCAAATTCTGGCCATAAGGAGGTTTAGCTCAGCAACAGGAAAAAGCAGATCACATGTAAAGGGCCAGTGCCAGACCTCAGACCAGGCACTACCACTGCAGACTCTGACAAATCTAGTCGGTATCAGCAGGAGCATATTGTACTCTGCTCCTCTGAAAAAAGTCCATTTTTATGAGAACCTAAAACTAAAAAAACCCTAGAAATATATTACCTCTTCTCTGCACCTCAGTTTGGATACATCTAAGCATAAACGGTTATATAGCATTTACACAATTGTTAAAGTCACCTAAATAGGTAATTCATACAGTTCTATAAGTTATGAAAATTTTAGTAGAACTAGGCATGTAGAGAACACAGATCCCAAAACCTTCCATTCATTGAGAGGACTGTGATAGAAAAAAACTGTTAAAGACACTGTCAAATACACTACTGGGATTATTCTCCTACACAAAAAGCTGTGAGGACAAGATATTCCATATGCACTCACTTCTCTAGGCAATATTATTTACATTTCATTTTCCCTTAGGCTTATTTTATGTTCCAAAACAATGTGTTTCTCTGATCCCTGGACATTTCAGATACATAATTTCTGTGCAGTGCATTAAGGTTCACAGAGTTCTTCGGCTACATGACATCACATCATACCTAAGAAACACAGTTCAGAATTATGTTATGGCACCATTATTAAGCTTTCAGCATCTAATGATTGCCATGGAGTACATACCGAGAATGGCTACGCCCCACCCCCCAAAAATTACAGTTTAATGCCAGAAGTTACTAGAAAGTGGTGCACCTCACAAAGATTACAAAAAGTACATAGAGAAGCAAGCTTTACATAGCTAAGCTTAAATACACAGTGAGCCACAAGTCTGAGGAAAAACTGAGTGGTCTTCAGATTTAAATAGTCTGAAAGACAGCATCCTATGCCACTCTACATGAGAAGAGACAACCCATGCTTGCACATACACTTTTAAATGTTTGTTTCAACACTCTATTTCTGCTTTCATTTCCATCACAGAAGTCTAAACAGTTACCACACTGTTTTGCACAATAGGTACTTTTTCAAGTTGGTATCATAATGCTTTTGTTTTCTTTTTACTTAGAAGAACATTTCTGCAACACCTCTGTAAGCAGAACTCCTTGGCCCTATCTCCTAAAGGCTAAGCTACCAGTTAAGCTTCTACAGGCAGTCTGCAGAAACACTTCAGAAGAAAAGCAATTTCATAATTGTAACTCTCAAAAGTACAGCTTCTACAATCTGCCACCTCAAAGTTGTATGTTCAGACTCCTTTGAAAGTAGTGGATGAAAGAGAGATAGCAGTTTTATCACAAGATAGTTCCAAGACCTGTTACTAATGAAAAGGAATTTGAATAGTCCCAATGGGTATTATTTCAGAATTAAGGAAAAAAAAAAAAAAACCAAAAAACAAAAAAAAAAAAAAAAAAAAAAAAAAAAAAAAAAAACACAAAACCAAAACACCAAGCATTGCCAAAACAGTACCTCACAGATGAGAATATACAGATGCAACACTCTAAAAGAATCAATTATATTTACGTAGCCTTTATACTTGTATCCCTAAATAAAGATCTTAACTCTAATATCAAAAATACCTGCAAAAGACATAATAAAAACTGAATAATGACTAGGAACAGAGAGGAATCTTGCTCTGTTTATGAACAAGATCTTCATAACCACTAGGGAGAAGTACTTTGAGTACACGGCACACTTATCTAAAGTACAGTACATCTTAAGTCGTCTTGTTATTGCAATCCTTTAGGCAAATTAACAAACTACCTATAGTCTCCCTTTACTCGGTGAGGGCTATCTCAAAAAAACTGTTTTGGATAAGGGCAACTGGGACATACAAACAGAAGGTCACAAAACTGTTAATAGTGTGGGGGTAAGAAGCCTGCACTTTAGGGAGCCAAAATACTTGAAAAGGTGAGTTTTTAATATGTTGAAATGTTAACGTGAGGTTTTAGGTATTTCCCAGTTATTACTAAGCAGTAAATAAAGATTTTGGTTCTGAGCAAATTGATCATGTGTCACTTGTCACAAGCAATTATGTCAATTCAACTTTCACCACTGCATAAGCACAGCTAACAGACAGTATTGGATCTCAAGGTTATCACTCACATTCTGGAATAATGGAAGCATGTAATTGGCCATGCAACTTGAAAACTAATATGGTAATGATTGTTTCTCAACTTTGAGCACTCGTATGTATTCTCTGAAGTTATTTGCAACCATATCTACCTAGAGGATGACCAAAACTCAACCTTGTAAGCACAGAGTTCTGAGAAGGAAAGTTGGTGGCTGGTAGAGGGAAGAGTGTCCAAAGCTTAACTGTTTACCTTCTTATTCTCTGTTGTGATTTTATTTCCCCTACTCACTCCATTTTTTTTTTTCCCCCCCATCACACAGCTTCTTTTCACCTAACACTTCCTATCGTATTGTCACTCTACTTTCACTTATTTTCAACTCCTGGCCTGCTTCCTTGTTCCCAAATTATAATTACCCAACTGAATCTACTGTTCATCTTGGTTCAGAAGTGAGAAGAATGTGAATATCCATATGCAGCCTTGGTATGTAGCTACCTTACTGTCAGTGATGTAGAGATGAGCTGACAGTAAGCCTGACACTCTAAAAACGCAAATGTGGTTCTTGACTATAATCTGAGGAAAAGAAAGACTAATTTGGAGAGCCACCAATTATGAGAATCAATTGTAAGCACAGATAATATACAACCAGCTAACAGAAAGACTCTCAAGCATATTAATAAAGTCATGTGATGGCTGTTTCACCAATTTAGCCGTCTGTCTGCAACTCATGTAAATTCTGCTGAGGTTTTACATAAACTGACAGAATTATAGAAAACCCTTCCTGTAATCCTAGCAGTAAGAAATAGTAGGGCACTCCCAAGAGGCATTTTGATTTTCATCTATTTATAAAATTGGATATCACAGTAATTCTCACTAATGTATTATTTGATCAAAGCAGAATATCAGTTAAAATTCTGTATGGAGGACAGCAGAAGACAGCAATCATATTTAAGGAGGCAAAGGAACAAAAACTCCAAAAACTTAAATGCAGACAACCAGAAGAGTGCTGTCCTGTTTATATGCTTTCACTAAACGAAAGTTTAAAAAGGAAAATCCTGTAACTAGACTTTTCTTTTAAAACGCCACCACAGAGAATGATAAGGAGTGATAAGTTCCTCCAAGGCCTTCCACTCACCCCTAGATGTTAAAGAAGGGGCGTAGAAATCAAGTGTTAAATACTGAAGTCTAAGACAACCTCTCTATGACAGAACCTACATAAGGCAATACCTTAAAGTCACACACAACTTCCCTGCACTGCCTTCACCGATGACTAAATACTTACATCACTGTACCCACAGCTTTCTTCCTGAGGCATGAGCTACTCTGCTCAGGAAAACGTACAGAAACTATAACTCAAACAAAATCTTTAATCTTCTGGAAAGTTACCTTCCTCTAAACAAACTTCTTTTTACAATATTATTTCCACTTCAACATTTTCCTATGTCACTTGTTACACCTGTGAACAACTTTCTACTTTTCCAATACCAAATTTCTTCCCCTTGAACATAAAAACTATTCTCATAAAGCCTTTCTATTCTACAACTCCATTCTAGCAGCTCACCAATCTTTTGGGGTTGAATTGCCAACATTTCTTGAGAAGTACCCCCTCCTTCTTGTTTTGCAATGCACACAACCTCACAGCTCTTCTCCAACAGATATTCCTTTCACATATATGTTAATAACTACATTATGCCTTACATTTTAATTGCTTAAAAGTGAAAACGAATTCTTTAAGACTACAAGAAGTCTGTATCCATGATGGCTATTAGAGCACAAGAACTTCCATATCTCAAATCTGTACTTGAACATGGCTCAATTTACTCACTGATTTAAATACAATCTGTACTGCATAACTGTACGTATATATACCATTTATTCAGGTGACTACTTGTACAAACCTGTATTTTGTACAGTACTGCATACGCTTCATTAAACAAAACTAACCTATTTTCCGAAAATACCACCTATGCTTTCAGTGCTATAAATAGTAATGTTTACTTACTAGAAACCTGTACACCTCTGCAAACCATACGTATATCGCTCAGTTTAGTAAAGCATCATCTAGATTTTCGTTTCTACTTCAAGGCGACAACAAAGCGAGTCTATATATGACAACAGCACCGAAGTGGCAACAGACTTCAAGCCATTATTTATTTTCCAAGTTCTCTACACGAGATACGCGCTTAAGAGCAGAGGCAAGTCTACGTCCTCATCAGCCCGAACTCCCCAGTGGTGCATTAACGTGGTTTTGGCCCAGGTGCCCCCTGAACGCTTCCAGGGCCGCGCGAACGGCCCCGTTGGCCCCGCGGATGCCGGTGCCGCCCGGCGCGGCGCACCCCCGCCATGGCGGCGGCGGCAGGCGCCCCGCCGCGCCCCGTACCTTCCAAGCCAGGAGCAGCACGTTCATGATGGCCAGCAACGGGCAGGGGCCGTTCTCGTTCTGGGTGATGACGGGCGTGTTCTCCTCCTTCCAGCGGACCCACTTGATGTGGTAGACCGACTGGCCCGGGAAGCGCTCCTTGGACGCGGAGAGAAGCTGGGAGCCCGCCGCAGGCCTATCCCCTTCAGGCTCCGGAGCCGTGTCCCCCGAGGAGGCCCCCGCCACCACCGCCTCCTCGGCGTCACTGTTGAGCTCGGAGCTGCTCGGGCAGCAGGAGTGCAGGTTGGAGAAGGACTCCAGCGAGTCCAAGCTCCGGGACTCCTCCCCCGGGGGGCTGGGAGCCCCGCTGCTCCCGGAGCCGGCCCCCGCGGGACTGCTCTCCGAGACAGGCGCCTCTCCGGGGCTCTCCGGCGCCACCAGCCCCGCGCCGGCCGCCGCCAGCGGGCTGCCCTCCGCGGCCCGCGAGGGAGACGCCGTCCGAGGGGCCGTGGCGGGAGCGGGGGCCGGCTGAGGGGAAGGGCTGCGCCGCCCGCCGCCCTCCTCAGCCGCCGCGGGCCCATCCTTGCAGCCGCCCTCACCCGCCGCCGCCTCTTCCAGCAGGAGCGGGCTGGCAGCGCCCCCGCCGCCCCTCTTCAGCGAGCCCGGAGGCGGCGGGGGCTGCGCCAGGCTCTCCATACCGGGCCCGCCGGCCGCCCGGTTCCTTCGCTGTCTATTGGCACCGCAGCGGCTGATCCTTCGCCAACAGCGCCCAAGACGCCATAACAGAAGCGACGGCTCCGCCCCGCCAGGGACGTGTGGGCGGGAGAGGGAAGCAGCCGCGGGTCACAGTGGGGCCCGGGGCGGGGGGGGGCCGGTGGGGCGGAGCGGGGGAACCCGCCGGCGGGGCGGGAGCGCGGAGACGGCAGCGGGGGCGCCGGCGGTTGGGGAAGGGCAGAAACCTGGAGGGGGGAGGGGGGGGGAGAGGAGGGAAGTACGCGTGCCTGCGGGCCCCGTGAGGGGCGCGGGGAGCGCGCGAACCCGGAAGGGGCGGCACGAGGCGCGGCGGGGCAAGGCCGCGGCCGCGTCCCGGGGCCCGCTCGAAGCGGCTGCCGGCCGCCGCAGGGCGCCCCGCGGAAGCGGCGCAGGGGCCGGAGTGTGGGGGGCGCGGGACCAGTCCCCTCCCTTGGGCTGGGCAAGGCAGGGCAGGGCAGCCCCCACCCCACTGCTGGCGGCCGGCGCCGAGGGCAGGCAGAAGGCAGGGCCCAGCGGCGGCCAGCCCCGCCAGCTTTGCAGGCAGGTGGCGGGGCCGCGCCTGCGCGGAAGGGCGGGAAGGCAGGGGCGGCAGCAGCGCCGCGCCCCGCCGGCGCTGAGGTAAAGTGCGGCGGAGGGGGGCCTGGAGAGTTACGAGGAGTTTCCCTTCCCACGAGCGAGTTCAGCTTCTCTAAATGTTTTCAGTGCTTTTTCTTGGGGTTTGTTAAATATAGTTATAGAAAATGATTGTGGTGAATGTAATAGATAATTTAAGAAGTAATACAGTTGTATTACTCAGACTTCACCTTACTGAACCGATTTCCTTCTCTCCCTATAGAAACCTTCAGTTTTTAATAGCAAATTTTGAATACAGCTTTTGGAAGATAAGAATTTATCTTTTATGTTCTCAGCAACTCTCTTATCTGAGCTTTCTGTAAACAGTTGCATCCACGTCAGCAGCTTTAGCTGGAGTACATTCATTGTTAATTATACTTTCTACATACGTGTTTGTGTAACAACTGTTCTCAGCTGTAACTCTTAGAGGGGAAGATTTTTTTTTTGTGAAAGGGCACTAGAAATGGAAAAGCACAAATAAAAAGGGGTTGACAGCAAATTAAGAAACTTGTCAAAAACTATCATATAAAAAAATAAATCTGAGTTCTCACAGTTGAATGTAAGAATTAGCGTATTGACAAACAAGAAGTGAAACGTTTTGCCTGAATGGCTTACGCTTTTATATTCATTGGAGGATTTTCTTTTACACTTGAATCATGAAGCTGTTCAAGGCAATCTCAAAATGAAGAAATCCCTCCTCAGTGGAGACAACCACGAGGCTCCACAACGCGTAGAGCATCAAGAGGAATGGGTGACCTAAAATAAAGCTCGAGGAGTAAGTAAATTAGTTTCTGTAAGCAAAAACGTGTATTTGGTAAAAAGATAAAGGAAACCAGCTGATGTATTTACAAGTTTCACATGACCTCATTGTGGTAAAGAGCCCTAAGGCTATTTACACAGAGGGTCAAAGGAGCTGGGGGGAAGCCTGCCTGACAAGTACCTGGAAAGTTTATGCACCAGCTCGTTCTTTCCCTCTTGAGGACGTAAATCCTTCTCTCACCCACTTAAATACCGGAGCCGCTCCCCGGGCAGCCCTAGAGCGGCGGCAGGCGCGGCCCCGGCCTCCCTCTGCCGTGAGGCCGCCAGCTCCGGGAAAAACCCTGCTCCCGGAGACGGCCCGTGGCGGTGCTCCCGCTGTGCCTCGGGCGGGGCCCGCGCTGATTTGCCGCCGATAAACCACGACTCTGGCCCCGCAGCGGCAGCCGCCGGGAAGGCGCCGAGGCGGCCGCAGCCCCCGCCCAACGGGCGGGCGGGGACCTCTCCGCCGGTGGGCCCCGCCCCCTACGCGCCGCGCGAATGGGGCGGCTCACGCGTTCTGGCCGTGCCCCGCGGCCCCGCCCCGCCTGTGGCGTCGCGAGGGCGGGGGCGGGCGGCCGGAGGAAGTCGTGGCGCGGGGACCGGAGCGGAGCGAAGCGCTGCTGGGCGGGGGGCGCCGGGGCTGAGCCGCCGATCCCGGCCTGATCCGCCGGCGGCTGAGCGGCCCTCCCGGAGCGGCGGGGGACAAAGCGGAGGGAGGCGCGGAGCTCGCCCCTCCCCATCCCGGTGCCGACTGGGGCGGATGTGCTGTGGGTAGGCGGTGGCGGGGCCTGGGCCCGGTGAAGATGGATCTGGCGGGGACGATAATCCTGCTGTGCTCCTGTGCAGCGAGCGCCGGAGGTGAGGAGCGTCCGGGCCCGCCCGGCCTGGCGGGGCCCTGGCTCGGGGCTGCCGGCCTCCCTGCCTCTCTCCTCCCTCCCTCCCTTCGTCCCTCCCCCCTTCCCGCGGCTCGGGGCTGGAGGCGGCGGGCCCCGCTCCCCGGGGCGCCGCGCCTCAGCGCCCCGGCGGCAGGCCCCGGCTGGGCCGCCGGCCGGGGCTCTCCTTGCCGTTGCCCACTGCCGGGCACGGTCCGCACACCGTCCTGCCTCGGCCCTCTACCCCCACCGCCTGGGGCTGGCCCGGCGCCCCCCACCCTTTTCCCGGGACTTTCTTCCGCCGAGGACCGAGTCAGGTCTTCGCTTCTCCTTTCTTCGTCGGCCCCTCTCCCTTCTCCCAGGCGCTCGGCTCTGCCTTCCCCTGCCCGACTCCCTGTTCTCGGCTCCGCTTCGGTCCCTCGGGACTTTCCTTACGGTCCCAGCAGCTGCTTCCCGGTTACCGTCCTCCGGCCCGTCCCTTGTCCGTCGCGGCGAGGCGCGGAGAGGAGGCGGCGGAGCCCGGCAGCTGCGCGGCCGCGGCGGGGCTGGCCGCGCAGGTGTCCCGCTGCCCGCGGAGTGGGGCGCGCCCCCAAACCTCGCCTTCCCCGCGGCCGCTTCCCTGTCCCTGAAACCAGGAAGCACGGGCGAACGAAAAGTTCTTGTTAAGTAAATAAAAGATGAGCCCGGGCTTTTCCTGAAGTGTGACATTAGCTTCAAGGAGGGTCTCCTCTCCCAGGCCAGGGACGAGAATGCTTTTCTGTGTGAGGGACGTGTAACTTTGTAACATCTCCCATTGCCAGTTGTCCTTCAGCATGAGGAAACTGCGAGGGTAGTTTCTTGATGTGTCTGGTAATGTTTAATTGGTCAAGTCATGGTAGGGAAATAGTTTCAGATTTTTAAGAGAGTAGCCATTGGGAAAGGTGGACTTCTGAGGGTGTTTCAGCAGGAGGATGGGTGTTACAGCTGATAAGGATTTACTTCCTCTGTTTCCTTTGGCACGTCTCCTATTTATCAGAGCTCTGCATATGTGTACGTACATCAGTATGTAGATTTGTGAACAAAGAATCTAGCCCTAAATCCTGGTCTCTTGCATGTTCTCAAAAAGTAACATCAAAGTATGTGAAAACTTAAGTAGGTTGTTCTTGTGGCTAAGCTGTGTGATAAAAAGCAAGCTGATTTGCATGATCAGAAGTCAACCCGTTACTTATATGATTAGAAGTGGTATATACAAAAGACTTTGCTGGTGACTTTTCCTTCATAAATTCTTGTAAACTATCAAGATATTTCAGACTTCATTATTGGTGTGCTTTTCAAGGCCTCTTTGTTTCCTGAACTAAACAGTACTGGCAGAGAAATAGCTCAAAGGGATTCATTAACCAGTTGCGAGGGTTGTTTCCACTGTTTAATTCTAGGCAGACAAATATGCCTTAAAGTTAAAATTACAGTAAGCACGTAAAGTACAGTCCTCTGGATATATAGAAACAAGTTCATGAAGTGTATTTTATTTTAGGAATTCATGTACATTTTTTTCTTTGCAAGAAGAATGGATACCTTCAACATTTCTGGCACTAAGAAGCACACCTCCCTAGCAGGTAATAGAAGCATGTGTCTTGGTGCTTAGCAGTACAGGTAAATCTTTTAAAAAAATGAATAATGGTGGGTAGAAATGTAGAAATTATGTCCAATACACGCCTCCAAAATATCCCATTAAACTTTTTTGGTAAAAACCTTAACATAATTATGAAGGGTTTATCATAACTATATTGAAATAAAATTACTTTTTAATATTAGGTTTTTTTTTTCTTTTAACTGATCACATTTCTAGAGTTTCTTAAGTACTCTAAATGTTTTTATTTACTGGAAAACAAGAGTTCTTCATTTGCGTGCTTTTCTTCTAGGCAGGCATTAACATCTGTGAAAAAAGGCAAGTTCATGATGCTTAATGAAGTTATTGTGAGAGCACTGGAAACAACTGAAAAAAACCAATAATTTACCCATGTTTTGTTTGTGTACCAGTGCGTCTTGTGTTCATTAATTTTACACAGATCTTAAAGCTAAGTTATCCTTATCTGTAAACTTCTCTAGCTTTAAGCCATATAGGTATTAAATAGTAATAATTTTGAAAATTCTATTAATCTGCACTTAAAAAAATGCTTTTCTTTTATATTGAGTCTACAGTTGGAATATTTTTACAGGATACCGGAGTTTGAACTTTTCTTTTGGAATTATGCAAGGCTTTATGTATGTATACTGTACTTATATTCTATTGTAATAGTCTTTAGGCACTTTAGATAGAAAGATATATTATAAATTAACAGAACCCATTGTAACTTTAGTTCACAGTTAAGTATGAATCACAAAATCAAAGTTCTAAAACATTAGGGTACAACAGAACTTAGATGGTTTATTTGAGGAAAAAGATTAGTGAAATCTCTTGGGTTTGAAAAATTTATTTTCTTTTGTAGTTTATATTGTTCTTAGAATTAGGTAAAAGGAACGCAATCAAAAGGAAACACTAGCGTTGCTGCACTAATGAAGTATATCGCACTGTCTATATCATGCTGGTCTATAACTGTATGGTTCATGGCCAAAACAGACCAGTTATTGGTAATTTGGTCTGATGGGCCCTGAAACACATGCTTGATCAGGCTTTGGTATTATATCACTTTTAGGGCTCTCTTAGAAGTTTTTCTTTCTTTACTACCACTGAATATGTTTGACCTCCATAAAACAAGTGGTTCAGTAGGTCAGTTTCAATAGCGTGAGAAGGAAGAGCCACACCAACTTTTTTTGTTTAGTAATTGGGGAAAAGTAGAATTTATTTCAGGTGGGTACTATATACTAGAAGGTAAGATATATGTGCCTTGAATTTTAAGAGTTCCTTAAAAAAGCTGTAAATCTTAGCTTTTTCCCCAATACCCTTGGAA